GCGTTATGTTCGGGGGAAGACGGTAGTAGTCCAAGCCTGTCTCTTATACACATCTAGATGTGTATAAGAGACAGTCTTCCATCTGTGTTCACAGAGAACTGGTCTTGTTTGTCCATTTTCGATTCGTCTTCCTGTAGCGTGTCTTGTGCTGTCTGTGATTCCCTTGCTCTGTTTTTATCCTCTCTCGCCTTCTGTTCCACAGGTTCAGATCTTCCAGCCTGTTGGGCGTTTCTTTGGGCAGGCAGAGCCCCCCTGTTGTGGCTAGGTGTAACTCTTTCTTCTCAGTGATTGGCCTGCTGCTAGCAAAGGAGGTTAGACCACACCCCTGAAGCGGGATCTTCCCCAAGCTCCTATCACAAGAAGGAGCTTGTCAGTTTCACTTACAGTGCCGCAGTCGAGCACACACCCGACAATGCAGCCACTGTCAGATGTTGCCATAGTGATAGTAGCCTTTACGTTCAGCCGTCGTATCAGTTTTTAATGTCGTGTGGTATTGTGTGCTGACAAGACACAGTCGCAGACACTTTTTGCCCTGCTTTCATGGCAATCAGGCAGCACTTGAATCTGGGGCTAGTGCATGGAGGGCACGGCACCCTCCTATCGGGGGGGCCTTTAGCGAAGCGAAGGGGTGGACCACAAATTAGTGTTGACAGTGGCCTTGGAGGTAACCGTAGTTTGATGCAATGGTTCTGAAATTCAAATATCGTAAAGAATGTGCTCGCCGCTGGTGATCAATGGACCGAATCCTTTCTTTTTTTTTCCGCTCACCTTGCCCTGCTGCCCTGCTCCCCTCACCCTAGCTCTCGCTTTCCGTCCCTGCTGTTAGTTACACCATGACTTGTGACCTCGGTGTCCTAAGCGTGCCAGCTGGATGGCTTTGCGGTCCAAGGGTGCGATAGGACAAGGCAGTCGGGTGGTGTGGCAAGTCCTTTTGCTTCAATGCCCCCAACATCCGCAGTTGTTTTCATGGGGAATCCACCACATTTACTATCATAATTTGTGCTCCGGATGGTCAGTTTGCAGGTGGCTATTCGATTGTGACTGAGATTGTCAGGGCCAGGACTGACGGGTGCTATGGGTGCATGAAGTTGGGGATGGGCCCACTTGTCGATTGGAAACCCCACAATTTTGAGAAATTGGAATGTAGTGTCTCTGTGGAGTCGCAGGTGCAGGGGACGCGGACACACATCTGGTTCCTGCGGCAGCCTGCAACAGGATTTTTTTTTTTTTTTTTTTTTTTTAACTGGCCTTCAGCATGGTTTCCTGGAAGGTGGTAGGTACAAAGATATGGAAAGCTGCTTGCTTCGGGGCGGCCCCGGCCGGCCATTAGTATTGCGTCCTGTGTACTACCGTGAGGATAGCACTCCTTGTACTTGGAATCTATCTCTTGACAATGACTCGGCTCTTGTCGGCTTTTAACTGACTGTTGCCGAGGCGCATCGTTCGTGTGTTGTGTTGTGGACCAGGCCCCATCAGTAGTATTGTTAAGCTTGCCTTGGAGCGATGTCCATCTCTCCGAGTGGGTAGTGGAACCAGGACGTTGCTCGATGATTTGCGCGCATGACCTTTCTGTGAATGCTTGATCGTTTGCGCACTTGGTTTTCCTCATGTAGCGGCGATACTTGTATGTAATTATGACTGCAGCAGCTGTCATGACGTGCCGGTTGATTTTTACTGGGCAAGTATGTTTATCATGAACAGTACTCTGCACATTATGCCGGTTGGCAATCCGGCACAGCCCAAATGTTTTAGCTCCCAATGTCTGTGGAGGCGTGTGGACAGTTTTTTATCTTGCAATGCAGCTGTCAGGTGTGTGAGGGCGCACTTACACTGGGGCGTACGTGTCGTGAGATACGTACAGGCACACGCCCACGGTTGTCGTCAGAATATACATCCGGAAAAGGCGTACTGTGTGATTCTACTTGTGCGTACACACTAATGTTTCACCTCCCAATGTCTGTGGAAAGCTTTTTATCTTGCAATGCAGCTGTCAGGTGTGTTGAGGGCGCACTTACACTGGGGCATACGTATCGTGTCGTGAGATACGTACAGGCACGCCCATGGTTGTCGTCAGTCAGAATATACTACTACTTGTGCTTACACACTCCTATCGGGGGGGGAGAGAGAGAGAGAGAGAGAGAGAGAGAGGGGGGGGGGGGGGGGGAGGAGGGAGGGAGATTTCTGGCACAGATACTTGTGAGTTGTGACAGATCAAGTTCCCCTCAGTAGGAAAACAAACGGGTAGGGAGTGGACCACCACCAGGTGTGGGGACCACCACCAGGCTATGGTCAAGGGTTGTAGTGGTTGCTAGGAGGAGGTAATGACTGATTTGGTCCGGGCAGGTTCTTGCCGGACTAATGGCGGGCCAAGATATAGTTACAGCCAGGCTAATAGGCACGGACCTGGCTGTGAAAATGCGCTTGGGGCTCACCTTAAGTTGTGCAAAACATAGCAGCAGTTGGGGCCCACTTTGAGCTAATCTGGCCGTGAGTAAATTAAGGTTGTGGGGTCATCTCTTATCAGCACCACTAACACTGGTGCGGGCGTTTCAAGGTTGCGGGGTCGTCTGCTCTACGAGCTTTAACGCGATGTACCACAACTTTTATGGGTGAACTACGTCCACTCTTCAGGATGACACTTAGACCACAAACAAGTACATGGCCCCAGCCTTGCAGTCCGAAACTTGTCGCCACAAACGGGAAAACGAGGCCTAAACGTCAAACGCTGGGCCCGCCCGCCGCTGATAAATTCGATCGGCGGCCCTGTTTCCATTTCGCGCCGTCAGAACTTTGAGGTGTCAACCCGCGGCCCCGGTCCAGGCCCAGGTGGCCATGTACTGGTGGTTTAACGGTTCCGCGGCTGCCTCTTTTTTTCTCTTTTTTTCTTTTCTTTTTTAATGCAGCTGACTCAATTTCTGGCCAATTTTGACCAAGACCGACCAACGACTGCAGTTGCGTACGAGGGGCCCATGACGTAGTAAACAGGCTTGGTGACAGTTGTGGGATTTGAAATTTGAAATTCTATCATCCGTCCGGTTGAAGCGGTGATGGGTTTGAAATTCTATTAGCCATCCAGTTAAACCACCAGTGCCACCAAGCGTCTCTTTTTCCAATGGCCATGGCCCATGGGTATGCTATCTATTTTTGTCATGGGTGCACAAGCCGATTTTGTCCCGCTGCAGGGCAACAAGCCGGGAAGGTTGGAGAGCGGCAACAGGGCCTTTTGTTGGGAGGAAATAGCTGGGAAAGGTGGGGAGGGAGGTGGTTTGATGCTGCGAAAATGAAAATGAAGATACTGCCGTCTTCCCCCGAACACAACGCACCCTCATTTTGGCTGTATCTGACCGGAAATATAGCTTGTATACATTCATTTTTAGGGTGCGTTATGTTCGGGGGAAGACGGTAGTAGTCCAAACAAAACTAGTTTGGAAAAGCGAGGAAAGGGATGTAGAGCGGCAAAGGAATCGTACCCACCAGTACCTCCGGGCGAGACTCGTTTTGTCGGCACTTGGATTTTCTCCGGGCCTGGCATGAACAAAAAAAAGAAAAAAAGAAAAAAAAGTTTTGGTATCAGTGGCAACGGACATTTCATTTACTGATATCAAAACTTTTTTTTTTTTTTTTTTTTTTTTTTTTTTTTTCAGAACACTGATACCAAAACTTAAACCACCAGTACCTCGCCCAGCTATCAAGTCCGAGGCTCGGACTACCGGTAGCCCGATCATTCCCGAGCCTGGGACTTTATTGCCGAGCCTCGGACAACTGGTAGCACATCACGGTGGAAAAAAAAAGACAAAAAAAGCGTACAACTTATTGCAAAAAAAAAAAAAAAAAAAGAGGGCCGAAGTCATATATGCCAAACGAGAATGAATCTTCCTTGATCAAGAGGACGATTCATTCTAGTGAGAGGTTGAGAGAGAGAGAG